CCCCCCACAGGACAGCTCCAAGAGGAGCGCGCAGGCCCTGGCAGCAGGCTTGGGACTGTTCCGGCTGCCCGGGGCCTGGAGCATGGGCAGTAGGGCGTACCCCTTGTCCCCGTGGACTCAGGTAATGATGACAAGGCATCTGGGCCTCTGTCTCACCCCCATGCGGTTCTAGCCATAAGGAATACACGATAACGCATTTTAAAAGCTCCTTTAAAAAAAGAAAGGATGGTGAAAGTGTTCAGTTTACTTCACTTCAACAGGCATTTGGTGGAGTATCCACTAAGTGAAAAACTCGGTGCCTAGGGCTTTGGGGGGAAAAAGATAAAAACCTTTTAAGGTCCCAATAATTCAGAAGTTCACTGGCCAGGGGGTGGGGAGGTGGGGGGGGGGGGGTAGATGCACATATGTGTAAGTAACGCACAAACACTTGAACAGGAATGCTCATAGCAACACTATTCACAATAGCCAGATGGTGGAAAACAATGTAAATGTCTAGCAACGGAAGAATGGATAAAGAGATTGTGGCCTATACGTACAGTAAAATATTCTTTGGGGCGCCTGGGTGGCTCAGTAGGTTAAGCGTCGGGCTTTGGCTCAGGTCATGTGATCACGGTTCCTGAGTTCGAGTCCCGCGTCGGGCTCTGTGCCGACAGCTCGGAGCCTGGAGCCCGCTCCGGATTCTGGGTCCCCCTCTCGCTCTGCCCCTCCCCTGCTCGCGCTCAGTCTCTCTCTCTCAAAAATAAATAAACGTTTAAAAAAAATGAAAAAGAAAACATTATTCAGCCAAAAGAAGGAATGGAGTGCAGCTACCTGCTGCACCGTGGATGCCTCCGAAGAGCTTAAGGCTATGTGAAAGAAGCCGGGGTCGAAAGTTCACATGTTGTATGCTTTCATTTATATGTAATGTCTAGAATAAGGAAATTCTTAGAGATGGAAAACACGCTGGTGGTTGCCTGGGGCTGGGACAGGGCAGGATGGGGCGGGACTACTTAAAGAGTACAGAGTTTGAGGGTGATCAAAGTGTTTTGGAACTAAAGAAGTGATAGTTGCCCAAAATTGTGAACGTCACTGAATTGTTTTAATTGTAGATGGTCAATTTTATTTTTTAAAATTTTGTTTTAACGTTTTATTTATTTTTGAGACAGGGAGAGGCAGAGCATGAACGGGGGAGGGTCAGAGAGAGAGGGAGACACAGAATCTGAAACAGGCTCCAGGTTCTGAGCAGTAGGCACAGAGCCCGACGTGGGGCTCGAACTCACGGACAGTGAGATCGTGACCTGAGCCGAAGTCGGATGCTTAACCGACTGAGCCACCCAGGAGCCCCTGTGGATGGTCAATTTTAAGTGAATTTCACCTCAATGAAAAAATAATGCTAATATAAATTAGCATATGAAATGAGCTACCACAGAATGCGGGAGAAGCTATCTCATGCCTCCAAGGCGGCACCTGGGAAACCTTAACTAAATGCAGAAATGAGGCTCCCTCCTCTCAAACCCCCGGGCCCTTCCCCTTCTCTGATCCTCTGGTCAGGTACGCCTGTACCTTTTGCCCCCTTAAGTGGAGTCTAGAGATTAAGCTTATTCTCTCCTCCTTTTGTTTTTTTCATTTTTTATTAGGAAATATTTCAGATCTATACAAAATTAGAGAGAATACTCTATCAACGTCTATGTACCCACCACCCAGCTTAAGAAATGCAACATTGCAGGGGCGCCTGGGTGGCGCAGTTGGATAAGCATCCAGCTCTGGATCTCTGATGGCGCAGAGCCTGCTCAGGATTCTGTCTCTCCTCTCTGCCCCTCCCCTGCTTGTGCTCGCTCCAGTGTGCGCAGGAGCACTCTCTCTCTCAAAATAAATAAACTTACATAAACACAGAAATGTAACATTGGAAATACAGTCGAAGCCACTGTGGAGCCCTCCCCAGGATTCTCCTCCCTTCGTTTCCCCAAGAGGTAGTCACCACCCTAAATGAGTTATTTACCTTTCCCACCCACACATGCTACATTTGCAGGCATCTCTCCTATGCATGCTTTTTCCTCTGGATATTTGTATCCATGATCAGTACACGGTGATCATTTTGCATGTGCTGTTAGACCTTATATACATGGTGTCATGTTTGTATCCTTCTGGAATCAGCTTTTTTATTTCTGCAGTTTTCTGCCATCACCCAATGTGAGCCCTTCTGTGTCTCAGCCCCTGTGGGTTCTGGCCCCCTCCCCAGTCCAGCCCTTGCCATCCTGTTCAGTTGACCTGCAAGTCCCAAGCCAGTGAATTAAGGCTGGTTCTACCATAGGTGAGTCTCATCTTCCCCTGTGCCTCTGAAGCAGTGCTTCTGAAACCGTAGCTGCATCAGAATCCCCTGAAGAGCTTGTGAAAGCACCCATTTCGGGGCCTGCCCTCGGAGGTTCCAACTCAGCAGGTCTTGGGTGGAACCTAGGAATTCCTGGCTGGTGCTGATGAGGCTGTCGTGGGGCCCAAACTTTGAGAACCACCCTCTAAATCAGTGTCTGGGTCGAGGCCCAGCAGCACCATGTGGCCTGCAGACCAGCTGGGCCATCCACCAGGTTTCCTTCCAAACCACACTCTAGAGCAGTGCTAATAGACATTACGATGCAACTCACGTGTGTCACTAGAAAAAGTGACACTAGAAAAAGTAGCCATGTTAAGAAGTAAAAAGAAGTGGGCACAATTAATTTCAGTAGTACATTTTAACTCAATTTGGTATCGTTTCGATATGTAATCAGTATAAAATTATCAGTGAGTTGTGTCCTTTTTAGGCCTAACAGTGCGTCTCAAATGAGACCGGGCGTGTTTCAGTAGCCACATGCGGCTAGTTCCTGACACAGCGAGCCGCGTAGCTCTAAAGACCTGACCTCCATCTCCCTCTTTACAAAAGTTGTTTTCACCTTGACATTTTAATTTATTTGGGGCCATGATAAAATAATTTAAAGCAGGCTCGTCAAATGGTAGTCAGTGATACCTTTTAATGAAGGCATGGTGCGTCAAAACAAAGAGGTAAAAGAGAGATTGGAGTTAAAATGATTTCTCTAAATAAAATCTGCCTTCCTTCCAGTTTATTACTTTAAAACAAACTTATTTTTGATGAGAACACATGCTGTCAAACGTATCTGTCAAGTGTAACAGAAAAGGCAGATTTCATTGGATGTCACTCTTTGGGGGATGCGGTTTGGAATGACGTCAGTGTTAATAAAATTCCCATGCGCTTCTAGAAAATGAGAAACCAGAAACAACGAACAAGTTCTTTCTTCTTTCTTCATCTCGTTTTGTTCCTCCCAGCTGCAGGATGAAATGAGAGAAAATTAGCAATCATAGAGCCGTAACCACCAACGGTGACTTTCCAAACCTATGAAAACAGCCCTGTATATACCTGCTACGTCCGTGGGCTATTTCTCATCAAGGAGAGAACACAGTTTCCTCTTGTACCCTGCACCCTTGTGCCTGGGGTGCTCGTGCGGCCCATGGCTTCGATCACGTGCTCCTACCAACCTGGCCTCCCTCTTGCCTAATCCCATCAATGCTTTTTTCTTTCCCTCGAGAGGATTCTGGGATTTAAGAAAATCTCTTCACCTTAAAAGCCTATGCTGATTCCACAAACGATACTCCCATACCCTCCCAGACCCTTGATTCTCCGTAGGAGAAACAGGCTGTTATTGTAAAATACACAGCTTTGAAAATGCAAAAAAAAAAAAAAAAAAAAAAAAAATCAAATGTTAATCATTTAAATATATTCATCAAAGACAAGATATACTTCAAGACTTAATTACCAATTCAGTGATAAAGTAATAGCCATACTATGACTAAGTTTCTTTGGACTGTCACATAAAATACAAAAGTCCACACCTGAATACTTAGGTATTAATCATTAAATGCAGTCCTACTTGAAATTCTGAACTTTTTGCCATTTGCATGTAATCACATTCGAAAGGGTATAGTCTCCTACTTAGTACAAGGGGAGACATTTCCATGGCCAAGTAACGAATGCCCAAGTAGGAAACAGCCCAGCCACTTTAGCTGCTGCTTCGGCTGTTTTCTAAACAAAGACTGGTCTCAGTTACTGATATGTTTACCGTTTGTTAGTAGTCTTATAGGTAGAGGACAAAAGAGCTTACAAGAACGAATGAGGAGCCACGAAATAGATTTCAACATATACTGTGATTTCTATTACTAGGTACCTGAGTGTTGTGTTAACAT